TATAGTTTTACATTGGTTTGAGGGTTTTTTAGCCTGTAGTATGAGACACCTGCATTTATCAGACTACTCACAAAAAAACCCCTCTACTCTGTTGGACACAGACCTGGAATTGTTTGTCACATTACTTCAAGTGAGGTTAACTTGTCACATAAGTTTCTGGCATTTATTATGATTATCGTGATACTGGTTTGCCTATGACAATTATACTGAAGTTTAAAAATTATATTGGATTGAATACTGCAATTCTCGTCAGTGTAATTATTGAAATAAGTTGTGCATATTTTAATGAAATACTTACATTCTTATCTAAGACAATACAAGTTGGTTGGTAAAATTTAAAGACATCCCCACTCATCAAGGTAATGCAGCTTGTTCACTGAAATCAATAAAAAATATTTTTTTAAATGATTTGTAACATATTTAGAGATTTGCAGATTGCGAAACAATCACATGGTTTGGATTTTGTACAGCTATTTGAAATTGTGTTTTTGTATTGTGAATTTGTCATTTACGTATTCAAACGTTATAATAGAAATTGGTTGAAATAAAAGTAAAACCACATACACAAAATAGACAAAGCTTTATTTGGACACCACTTGGTACAAGAATCTTTTTAGATTAGGCTTAGATTTATTTTCAGTATTTTAAAAATATAACAGGTATAAATATTTGTTGCAAAGAGGCGTTATGCTGCAACCGTTCAATTTCGTTGTGACTTTCCAAAATGTTGTTCAATTTCCCAATTATGGCTTAAGACAAAGGTTAAAAATCTAAAATTAATATATTTTGAGCAAAAATATTATTACAACTATTTTTTTTTTTACTTATAGTTTTTGCCACGTATAGGCTTAAATTTTACAAAGTGTAAATCATTTTAAATGCTTAATTGCATTTAACAAATTGGTAATGTATTTATCTCAAACAATTAAATTAAATATAACATATTTTCTAAAAGATAAACGAATGATTTCAGCTTATTTGATTTAATTAGGTTAATTATTACAATCAAGAGATTGAGTTTATTTAAAGATGGCAAGATGATTCTTGGCATAACAATTATAGAAGTCCACAGAATATGTTACTATTTCATCACGCCATGTGTTCAGTTTTTGTTATCCTTAAATATTGTTTCAGTCTAGTCAACAGCTAACGCCTCTTTACCTTTTATACATAATAACATTAAAAGGATTTTATTTACCCTAGGATTGCAGTAGATAGACAAGTATATATCACCATATGAGTCGATACTAATCATAGTCGATTTAAAAACATATATTCTTAGCTATAAAAAGCTTTACAGTATTGTCAGATACATAGTATATTCTAAAGTTTACAATATGTACAATGGAACCAACATTGCAAAATCAGTCAAGGAACAGAGGAAATGCAGACACGTGATAGGCAGCCGTAAAAACACAAACGTATATTTACAATCTGAGTTTAACAAATTAAGTGTCAACTGTTCACATTTTAATATACACAGAAATCTATTTAAATGTAATCGAAGTCCTTACAAATGATTTAGGTTTGGTTGTTTCTATAAATTGCCAATAGAGCTCTATCTATGTTTAAACAAAGGTCAGCATGTCATTTTTATATCATTTCAGGTAATAAGTAACCAAATATTATGCAGAAAAATGATTTCCTTATTTATATCCAGGAATATTTAAGTGATTAGGAAACGTTCGTGTGAAAAAAGTGTAAATAAATATAAGATAATCACGAATATTAACTAATTTTAATGTTTTTAGTCCAGATATATTCAAGATCTTTTAATGTTACTAAATGTTATTGTTATTTAAATCTTTGTTTTAATATTATTGTTACATGAGTTATATATAATCAAATATAGATTATTTTGATTTAATTATTGCAGTAAAAACAATTTCAAAAACTTTTATTAACATTAAAAATCAAAAGTCTATACCTGTGGTTTTCTCTGTTTGTCTCATGTCTAATAAAACATAAATTTCAATAAAAATTAGGCCTGAATATAAAGTGTGTATTGTTAAAACAATCCTAAGTTTTGATAAAAAATTCGAAAGTGGTTTTAAACAGCATGTTAAACTAAGTCAAAATAAATACAATGTAATTGTACTAAACAATTTAAGTAACCACCGATTGTATTATATTACTTTTGATAGTAAAATATCACGTTTCTTCGCATATGTATTTTCAATTACATTTATACGCTCAAAACTGCACGTGGATCAAGATTTTGGAATAAATAAATAGCATATGACAAGTTTTAGATTCAGAACATCAATAGATATAAATATTTTTTCTATTCGAATAGGGTTTTTTATGAAACAACTGCAGTTAAAGGCAAAATTCTTTAAATTTATCATTGAATTAATTTGCTACACATAAATTGACGGATAACCATTAATGCGCGTTGATTTTTTATCTAAACTATCTATTCATTATTAGTGGTGCATTTTTGTGTTTTAGGATCAATCATGCATGAGTTCGGTTTCGGCTACTTGCCAAGTAATGTAATAACGGGAAAAACAAAATACTAAATGTTTTTTACTCACAGAAATATTTACTTAGGTTTAAATTTAACGATATGAACTTTAATTATTACTCTCTGACTTATTGTTTGATTTATTTTATTTAATAGGATTCTTTCTATATTACCTATTGTTTATATGGGAGAGCCTAAAATTAACAAAATAACATAGCCTAGATTTCTTAAAATAAACTATCTGAAAAGTAAACAGTGTCACCTTTATACGAATTTAAAAATAATCTATGCTTTCTTAACACGTACTAAAAAAAAAAAAATAAAAGGATTGTAAACGTTGTGAAATAGTAAGGATTGCAGTTTAAAAAAAGTAAAAGATAATTCTGCTGGAATAGGTTACTTCGTTTCGTAAAGCCAATGGAGGAAGTTATTTATAATGGTTTAAATACCTGCATTCAGTAATCCATCATGCTGCTTGTGGCAACTATAGTTTCGGTTCACAGGGAACCATCTTCAGGCCGTACAAGGCGTCGTTATTCACTTCCATATATGAAGGTCGTCATAAGTACATAGAACACGAACGCACGAAAACACACATTGACACGAACATTTAACATTAAAAATACCGAGTACTCGGGAACACGAGACAGGTGACGCGACCGGGTGGAAGTTGTAGCTCGAACTGGTGGTCAGTGGTCTAACGGTATGACGTCAGCCATTGTCTCCTTATCACTGCCGGCTCGCATTCATTCCTTCTCTCCTCCTCCCCCATCCAGTATTTTGATTGCGGTGTTATAAATGGAATTCGATTGGAATGAGAGTTTGTCATTTAAAACATTTTGACCATCTGTTTTGACTGCCTTGTATATTTCAAATTCTTCATAAGTGTTAATGGTTGATCGGTCTTGGGAAAGATGTAAAACGTCCATATTACTATTTATGTTTACATAGTTGTGGTTGAGTGAAATTAAATGCTCTGCGAAATTTGAAGTTTGTGGGCCTGTAGTTTTTTTGGGGATATGTTCTCTGAACCTCTTCTTGAAAGAGCGTGAAGTCTGTCCGATGTAATATTTTGGGCAATCGCTACAGTTTAATTTGTAAACCCCAGACTTGTCATAAACAGTGGAATTCGTTTGTTGCCGCTCTTTCAATAAGGATCCGAGCTTGTTTGTAGTTTTAAATGAAACTGTTATATTATTTCTGGTCATGACATTTTTAAAAGTGTGGCTTAATGACGAACCATACTTAGCAGAGATATAATGTTTCTGATTAGGGGCTTTAGAGGTTTTATTTGAGTGTTTGTAAATTAAATTGTCTATTAAACTGCTGTTAAACCCATTTGCAACCGCAATGTATTTTATTATGTTGACTTCTTCTTTATAGTCATCATCATTCATTGGTATTGAGAGCAACCTGTGAACAAAACTGTTGTATGCGGCAATCTTATGTGAATGTGGTGCTTGGGGATTTGTCATGTATTGAAGGTAACAAATCCCCAAGCACCAAACAAAGATAACTGTCTGCTGTTGCCATTGAAAAGAACGATAGTGTCGTCAACATATCTATAATAAAATGTTATTTTCTCTCGAAAGCGGTTGGTATCAGAAAATAGATGTTCATTTTCGATATGGTTCAAAAATATTTCTGATAATATACTGGAGAGGGGTGAACCCATTGCTAGGCCATCTTTTTGGACATAGAAGTCATTTTGGAATCTGAAATAGTTTTGTTTTAATACAATTCTTGTGAGGTTAATGAGTTCATCTATTGCATTGTTCATCTATGTCATGACCAGAAATAATATAACAGTTTCATTTAAAACTACAAACAAGCTCGGATCCTTATTGAAAGAGCGGCAACAAACGAATTCCACTGTTTATGACAAGTCTGGGGTTTACAAATTAAACTGTAGCGATTGCCCAAAATATTACATCGGACAGACTTCACGCTCTTTCAAGAAGAGGTTCAGAGAACATATCCCCAAAAAAACTACAGGCCCACAAACTTCAAATTTCGCAGAGCATTTAATTTCACTCAACCACAACTATGTAAACATAAATAGTAATATGGACGTTTTACATCTTTCCCAAGACCGATCAACCATTAACACTTATGAAGAATTTGAAATATACAAGGCAGTCAAAACAGATGGTCAAAATGTTTTAAATGACAAACTCTCATTCCAATCGAATTCCATTTATAACACCGCAATCAAAATACTGGATGGGGGAGGAGGAGAGAAGGAATGAATGCGAGCCGGCAGTGATAAGGAGACAATGGCTGACGTCATACCGTTAGACCACTGACCACCAGTTCGAGCTACAACTTCCACCCGGTCGCGTCACCTGTCTCGTGTTCCCGAGTACTCGGTATTTTTAATGTTAAATGTTCGTGTCAATGTGTGTTTTCGTGCGTTCGTGTTCTATGTACTTATGACGACCTTCATATATGGAAGTGAATAACGACGCCTTGTACGGCCTGAAGATGGTTCCCTGTGAACCGAAACTATAGTTGCCACAAGCAGCATGATGGATTACTGAATGCAGGTATTTAAACCATTATAAATATTCAAACGTAATCCGGAGGCTAACAACTCTTAAAAATGAGGAAGTTATGCATTTTATCTTTATAATATTAGATTACATTCCAAGAAAAGGATATGTATCTTGCATTGAAAGGTATTTAGTTTCTTCTTCAAAGGTATATTATTCCTCTAGATAAAAAGTTGGATTGAAGGTGGATATATTGATAGGCAAAACAAGTTGGCATGAGTACCAATATTGACGAGTTAGTCCTTTTATATACATTTTTGAAAGGTCAGGATAATGTGAAAATTTATAAATCAATATTTCACATTGAATAAACGTAAATACATTAAAAAGCATACGGTCATCACATTTTTGGTAACACTTAAGTCCCTTTGCTCTTTACTAAAGGGGATCGTCCACTAGGTGACGTTGATGCTCGACGTTAAGTGACGGTCATGTTACAAATACAGTCTCCGTGTGATATGACGTCAGATTGGGGCACGCCTGGTGACGTCATGTCTCTATCCTCGCCATCAGGTGACGTAGCTTGTGGAGGTTGGTGAGGGTTGTGACGTCAGACGGTTCAAGCCTCAGAGCTTCTCTGTATGAAGCTGCAGCCTCAGTGAGTTTCCCACTCAGGTGCAACATGGCGCCTAAGTTACTGTGACTTGTGGGATCCTGCGAAATAAATAAATACAATTAAAAACTAAAAAACCCAAACTTTACTGCCTTTTGAGAAACAGTCCAAGCAGAATATCAACCTAATACGATACATATTTTGCATAACCATTTAATTTAACATTCACAGAAATAAATTATCTAGTTCGTTTTACAAAGCCTTACAGCCTGCTTAATTAGTTTGTGTTTTTCTATTCAAGTGCCAATGCACTAATAATATTATAATTTTATATTATAAGACTGGCGTGTATTATTTGTATGTTTTTATGAGCCAGCCAACAAAATCGTTAGATATTAATACTGCAATGACAGAGTGTAATCCGGAATCAGTGCCCTAACACAATAGTGTATTCCTACAAAGTAGACGGTTGTAGTAGGTAGTGGTATTTAGGTATAGCAACGTGCATTCCTGCAAAGTAGAGAGTAGTATTAGGTAGTGGCATTAAGGCATAGTATGTTTACAAAATATACAGACCTTAGGCCTGATATTCACCGCTCGTCTGTAGTACAGCTCGGCCTTGCTGTACCGCCCTGCTTGTCGTAGCGCTGTTGCAGCTCCTAGGATGAGCTCGTAGCTCAGTGGGGAGAGCTCAGCTGCTCTGGTCATCTGACGGGCCGCCTCCTCATGCCGATCCTGTGAGCTTAGGAGTTCTCCTGTTCAACAATACAAATGCATTGCTTTTAACTTGTCCTAATCAAATATAATATAAATACAGGGTGTTTTTTTTAACTTGCATCTTTATTTATGTAAAACCGCAATAGATAGAAATATGCAATTTGCGGGAATCATCTATTGACGTAGGGGGCACAATGTTTTTGAATTCAACGTTACATTCACGTTCCCCCCTTTCCCCCCCCCCTGCCACCAACTTTATTTTTTTTAAATAGCAAGGTACCCCTTGTGACATATCAAATAAAAGAGCATGAAAAAAGAAAATGTTTGGTGATTTTTTTTTCATTTGATATGTCACAAGGGCGGGTACCTTGCTATTAAAAAAACAAGTTATGGGTAGGGGAAAAGGGGGGGGGATTATCTCACAAATTCATGAGCCGATTTTAAATTTTTTTTCACCAAAAATTTTCTTTTTCCATGCTCTTTTATTTTATATGTCACAAGGGGTACCTTGCTTTAAAAAAAATAAGTTCCGGGGGGGAGGGGGAGAATATCTTACAAATTTATGAACCGATTTTAAATTTTTTTCATCAAACATTTTCTTTTTTCATGCTCTTTTATTTGATATGTCACAAGGGGTACCTTGCTATTTAAAAACATTAAGTTGTGGGCAGGGGGGGGGAAAGGGGGGAATGTAAATGTAACGTTGAATTAAAAAAAATTGTGCCCTCTACGTCAATAGATGATTCCCACCAACTGCATATTTCTATCTATTGCGGTTTTTACATAAATAAAGATGCAAGTTAAAAAAAAAACACCCTGTATACATATACATTGATTGTTTAATGAAAAGGGCTTATACAAAATATTAGCTACTTTGGTACAATTAAGTACTTTGGAGACCACCCTTATACAGCGCTGCGGGGGTTAGGTTAGGTAAGGTTATCATAAATAGAAAATATAAGTCATGTGGTATCGTTCAATTCATAAAATAACGAGAAAAGTCCTACAAACATACTTATGATAACCCAGCATAACATAACCACCCTAGTGTGCTGTAAAATAAGTGGCCTCCATATAATATCAAAGTACCAAAAATTAGTAGGGATGAAATAAAACCTGTTAATGTAGACGTACTCATGATTACCAGGTTGTTATTTAGATGTTTTCTATATATAATAGCTACGTCCTTAGTATATAGGTCATGAGTAATTGTCAATGGAGGAGTTAATTTTCTGATTACATAATTAGTTTTCAACGGTTAGGTAAAATATTACTAGTACCAGAATGTATATTGGTGAGGTATGAGCTAATTTCTCTTTTTTATTTCTAATAGGTTCTAGTTGCCTCACCATGAAATCACCAGTGTGGTTAAAAAGGATTCCGTGTTTGTGTTATACAGTGCTACATAATAGACTTTGTCAGGGTAGAATATATGAACAGTTGAAAATAGGCTTAATATTTTCTTAGTATAACTTATGAGTCTTAATATGATAATAAATACTTAATATTATAGTTACTTATTTATTACAATGATCATGCTTCTCACCATACTGCTGATACACCACAGGATCTGAGGGAGCTAACTTCTGAGCTTTTAAGAACCATTGCTCTGCTTCAGGCATCCGTGTTTTCTGTAACACCATTAGTAAACAACTGAGGTGTTTAATAAACTAACGCCCATTAATATAGTGACGAATAGTGACTGTAATTTCCTATTTACTAAATGAAATTCCGTTAGTTGTTAAACTTTATCACATTGGTTTTAAGATCTTAAAAAATGGTTTTAAGGAAACCCTCTAAGCTAACACATGTATGATGCTTTGGAAACAGTGCAATATAAATTTAGAGCACACATTATATTTCAGTATGCTTAATGTTATCTAACAATCATCAAACAAAATCAAACACAATATATATATCAAATAAAAAAAATATTTCCAATGTAAAGTGAACAATAGAAATCGTGAACATTTACTTCAAATGAACAAAAAATACAAATAAACTTTCTTACTATTGCACAAAAGTAATAATGTACTTATAAACTAGAAACAATTTACATAAAGCAATGTTCAATATAAAAAGTTGGGAAATAAGCCTACATGGGCTGAAAGCCTGTGCATAGGCTCAGTTGGAGAAATTTGTCATATAGTTAGACCTTGATAAATTAGAGGCAATTATTCCTACAATCTGTGACTATCCGAATCTATAAGAATGTGAAGTATAGTTAAAAATATAATCAAAGTTTTTGAAAATGTGAATTAAAAGAAACTTGATGAACAAGTGCACCCTAAGCAACATGGAAGAGCTATAGAAGATTCGTTGTCATGAGTAGCAAATACTGTAACTGCATTACTCTAAAATAAAAGTGTTTTTTTAAGTTATATTTGTGATAACAAATAACCGGTATTGTATCGGTTCACTCACATTTCTCGCAAGGTGTTTGCCGTAAGTGATGTGTGCAGGGACGTGGTCTGGTTTGGCCTCCAGCGCGGCCCTGTACCAAGCCTCTGCTTCCTCGTGACGTCCTAGGCGGGACAACGACTCCCCGAGTAGATTATATAGAACCTAGAACAGGTATATAGTGATGAATGCGTGAGTTATGTATTGACATTATTATCATCACTGAATATATAGACATCCCAGAAAAGAAAGAACCCTGGGCCATTTCGAGCCGCGCAGGTTTGAAGGGTACGCTACACCTACCGGCGCGAACCACGTGATCTTTTCGTTTATGCGCAGGTTTTTCTTGGGATGTCTATAGGAAATTATCATCATAAAGATGACAAAACGATATCTCTCTCCCTAACTTTAGACAGTTTTTACCTTTCATCCCTTAACTAGTACTTCGTTTTTCTGTTATTCTAGTTAACACAATGAATTTTCGGAATATAGAGAGCATTGTACGATTTCTTTATTGCTTTCGTTACTTTTGTTCATTAAATATATTTTGATTAATTAACTAGTGATTAATTTTAGCGAATTTCCCCATAGGGAAGTAGTTATTACCGTAGGTGGCACGGTAAGACCTAGATTGTATAGAATTGAACCTAAATTAAATCGTCTGGGGTCGATTTAATTTTTTTTCATTTTGATGTCCCCAGATGCCAAAAACAACTACCGTTAAAATTTTATATATGTATTTTTATTTCTATATATATATGTTTTATGTGTGTGTCCGTGGACGCGATAACTTGAGTAATTTTTGTTTGATTTTGATGAAATTTGTCTTAAAGATGTAAGACGGGATAAACCTGAATAAGTTCGCGAACCAGCGTGATCGGACCATGGAAATGGGGATTTGCGTGGGTTTTATGGGGGTAAAAATTGGGTTTTCTCATTTTTAACCCTCAAAACAAAAATTTTCCAATTTCTCTCTAGACCATTTTTAAAGAGCTAAAAAACAAATAATTTAGTATATGGAAGTGTTTTTGTACTGTTATTGGTAACGGATAAAATTCCAAAAAATTTCAATTTAAAATTCCTATTTTATTCTTATGTATAATATTGTAAAATGTTGTAGTTTGCTTGTTTATGAATATATTGTTTATCAAACTTGGCAAATTTATTTTTTTCTGTACTAAGCTATTAATACTTTACTAAAAAAAACCACTTAATTAGTTTCCTTCTAGCACCAATCATAGGTACTCTTTAAGCCTAATAGTTTTTTTTTTATTCAATTGAAAATCTATTCAGACTAGTGAAAATTCGCTTAGTTGGCAGGTTTGCTGCGAAAGGGGTATTTGGTGAATCAAGCTCAGTTTATATAGCTTATCTTGAAAATCCATAACATCTTACTATATAAATGAAGATATAATAATGTTTGGTTAATTTTTTTTTTACTTTTGATTGAATTGAATTCAGTAAACGAAACAACAATGGAATAAGGTCACCTTACTGCGATGTAAATCTGATTGCATATTCTCATTGATAGACTGTATAAAAATAAATAAAAAAGAGTGTGATATAAATAAACTTATGTTATAAGTATCTTTACAAAAATAAAACATTAAACATAAATTGAACGTAAATTGCATGCTTATATTAACTAGTATGTTACATATTAGATTTTACTGCATCAAACGTAACCATTTCACTTCATTAAACTCTCAGGCGTAACAAACATTGGAATAGAAACTTCATCAAAACATATAAAGTTACGACTGAGACGAAGGAAACACTAAGTGAACAAAATGAGCACAATAGTTGTGAGACTGCGAGAAATGTAATACGCTGAAGTAGGAATTCGCGTTCATACAATAGCTTTCCCGGAATGAGACGTGCCTACGATAATCACCCTTACTTAGGAACCTTTTAAGAAAATGGATGTAACCTTTTACCAGGCCAAGTGCCTTGAACTTGGACGTGTCTCTAACTGTACAGATGTTATTGCCAAGATCTTCCTTAATACACTGGAAACTTAGAGCTGAGTGTCGCCTAAAATGTTTCTTTGGAATTAAAGTAAATTCTTGGATTCATTATGATAAGTATTTCATAACAACAGTATAATTTTCTTATTTTAGAGGGTAAAGTTATCAAATATACAATTTCAAAAGCATTTTCCTTTGCAATAGGCAAAAATAAATATGTTTTGCCAACAAAATTTCCTTATATCCTAGAAAGTGTTTGAAGTTAAGAGTAACGTAAAACCAAAAATCATAAAACGTTTAAACAATTTCAAAATACAAATTAACAAGTAAACGTTCTTCTATATCCTTACATTATTAAAATTTTAATATAAACTACAAGGTTGTCAGTAAAACTTTCTTTGCTGTCCGCTAGGTTTTATCAAACAATATTTTGCCCGAAACAGACTATAGTTTTCCGTTCTTCTTAACTATTCCAGTCATTGCATAACATTTCGAACAATATAGTTGCATTGACCGTGCCAAAAGACAAACAATTGCAGATAGGTTAGTTCTATTAAGATTCTTGACAAATCAAATATAGATTGCAAAATAAGTGACTGTAAGTTACAGAAGTCGATAGCCCCGTAAAGCCGGGTTTTCCTAGGCGCGGAAGTGGAGAGCGGAGAGGAACGCGGAGAGCGGACTCCACTTTTCTTAGGTTATTTAATGTTACTGTTTTCCTAGAAGCGGAGCGGAACAACATGTTAATCTCTTTTTCGCTCTCCGCGTTCCTCTCTCCGCTCTCCGCTTTCGCGCCTAGGAAAACCCAGCTTAAAGCTGTTGCACGAACTGGGTTCTACTTATACATTTCATCACCTTCCTTACCTGTGGCTGGTAGTGTAAGGGCCTGGTGTCCACGGCCTGCAGGTAGGCCTGCACGGCCTCCTGGTGCTGTCCTCGGTCCGCGTGTAGACGACCCAGGTGTAGCAGGGCCGCCATCTTGGTGTCCTCGTGCTGCCTCGGGTCCTTGAGGCCGGTCACGTCGAGGGTGGCGCAGCGGCGGAACACACGCTCGGCCTCATCACAACGACCTCGCGAGGCCAACAGCTGACCCAGCTTTAGATGAGCCACTGGCACAGAGAAAAGAGGTTTAAACATAAAAACAATGTGGAAATAGCTGTTTTTGTAAAAGCGCAAAGTACGTCATTGCTGCACGAGAAGTGCAGATGGCCGCACGAAGCTTTAGCCGAGTGTGGCCATACATTTTGAGAGCAGCAACCACTGTTTGATCGTAATAGACACAATATTTTTTTAACCATCATAATTAACTTATCACACACAGATTAACTATTTAGTTGTGAACATTGTGATTTAGGTTATGTTTGTGTTTGCTTTAAGTTTACGTTGTTTGCTTAACGATTGATAACGTACCGGATCCACGGCTGGGGAGACACGACAAAAGCAAAATCAGCTAATTTAGCGAGAGCGAATGATCCATTCGCACTATGGAGCATCGCATGGTATTAGAAAAAAAGGAAAAACGTAATAGTAGTTTACGCAACGATCACAAGTTAGTCTTTACTACACGTATAGAACATTTAAGGTAGGAGCCCTGGCGAGTGCCTTTAACACTTCTACGAGTGTCGTAAAAATTATATTCGCGAGTTCCGTACACTACTTTACCTATGAAAGTGTTTTAATTGCTAACAAACACTACTCATAACTTCTAAGAGAGGGTATGTTTTCGTTTATAACCCCAATGCCTCTGATAGTGATGCAACGAATCATTGTACAAAACACTAATTGCACCACTCATCAACAATTAAATTGGTCTAAACAGCTGATTAGTTGACGTTAAAGGTAAACAATTTTACTTCTTATATCTCAATCTTTGAACCTCATTGGCCCCTTACCCGTGTTGTTAGGTAAAACTTTGCTTTTATGTAAGTAAACAATGCTGTTATGTGATATTTTTCAATCCTAAGAACTTAATTTAAATTACTACTTTAAAAACGGTCGTAGGTAGTTTTTATTTTTATTTTATTTTATATATATTTTTATATTAGGTTTTAAGGTTTGTAGAGTGTTTTCACAATCCCTCCACCGTGTCGCTTTTAACATGAAAGAAATGTACACGATACCCATGAATGTGACAAATAATTCCGTTACAATTACCATCAAAGTACGTTGTTTCATTATTATTATACTGCCTCATGAAATGGAATAGGTTTATCTAATAAAAATGATTTGTTTTCATGTGAGTGGATTTTCTTTCAAATTGATTATCGGTTGCAAATTTTTAATTGGAAAAATGCTAATACATTTATTAAAATTCACTTTTACTAATAGTTTTTAACAAAAACATCGTATTTTATTAACTTTTAAATATGACTTGTACTGCATTTGTTTACTGCAAGAAAACATATTTTTAACCACAACGAAATGTCATTTCTACAAAATAGTACATCTCTATTTAACATGAACTCTTATAATAATACTCACAAGCTAAAGACGGTCGACATTGTATGGCGTTGTGGTAACTCCTTATCGCGTCTTCATACTTCCCTTGACTCTGTAGTAGATTCCCTCTGGAAACAATAAAAGGTAAAAGAACCATATCAAAAGATTCTATAAAGTCTATTAAATACGTAAGAAAAACAAATGGACTTAAAAGTCCTTTCCTGGCGAGAAAATCAATCTTGGAACAACTTCTTAATCATATTTTTAAGATTTTTTATGAGTAAACATTTTTTACATCTTAGCTTAAAACCTTGTCAACCTTTGTATAGTGAGAGGAATGGCTATGGCATGAAAAAACCATATCTCAATAACAAATCAGAGTTAGCCATTTTTACTTACAAGTTGTAGTGTACGTCCGCCATGTTGGGTCTGTACTTAAGTGCCAAGTTGAACGCCTTTTCAGCCTCTTCAGTGCGTCCTTGTGAACTTAGAACGGATCCCAAATTTCCGTACGCTGCGATCAAACATTTCTTTTAAAATTGTATACATGTTTAATAAAAATTATATGTGTTGAACGTGTAAACAATCAAAGTTTTATTAGATGAACTCCATTTCATTAACCAATTATTAGAAAAGTTGAAATGCAATGAAACATTTTAGAGGCTGATTTAATTAAGCATGTAAAGGTAAATTTTTAACATGAGTGTCGAGTGTATCTATGTGAGGCAGTAAGCTAGCCATATGTATTGTGTAGGACATATTGCCTTTATATTGCCCCTGTGAGCCACAAGGCCTACTACTACACAAGTTAGAGTGACACTTATTGCTCTAGAGTGTAGCGCCTCGACATTCCAGTAGAATTTATCACCAACACAATAAACCCAGCACGTGTTTCTCTATAAGACTACTTTGTGAAATGTACCACTCTTGAGACAGAAATCACAATAATATTTTGAATATATGATACACTTAGGCCTATATTAGATACGTTGTCTAACTTACTGCATGGACTTTCATTGTTAATGTATGTGAGTAATTCTCTTAAACTCATTGTTCTAGTCGTCTTAATAATAGAAAATTGCCTTAATGTCAATTTATTTTACAAAAAGTCAAAACGATTCCTAATAGCAAATAATTTTTTCACTGAAGAAGCTAATTTAACCTCGGATTTATATGAATCCAATGATTTTTTATAATGGATTTATATAGTCAGGTAATATTAGGGTTGTAGAACTTTAGATAATAATACATAACTATAAAGCGTTTGAAGTTATATTTTTAGATTTTAGGCTAGTTTTGTAGCTACATTTAATCAGTTAATTATGTTAATTTATCTCAACAATGGTATAGTTATTTGTGCAACTAGTGAGAAAAGTGAGCAATTCACTCACTCGAGAGAAATCCTTACTCACGAGCCGTAGGCGAGTGAGGAATGGTTTCTCGAGTGAGGCAATTGCACTTTGAACTCGAGTTGCACATTATACTTTTCCTACATTTACCATAAAACTAATAAATTGGTGAAGAAACATAACCTATTTTTACACAGAAGTAAACTTTTAATATAACAATTAACGTGAAGTAGCAAATACAACAGTACAACAACTGACCAGCTGATTTACAGCCAGTGCTGCCAACGTATTTCGCGCGCATACGACGTTGCCTGCATGATACGCGCTCACTATTTCGTGCCTTCACGTTGCAAATCTGGAGTGAGACAAAGTAATTAGAGTGAGACAATGTTAACATTAACAATAATAATGAGACAAATTAACATAATATTGGATATCTATATTAATTTAAATATTGCAAATTTATGGTTGCTTATGTCAAAGCAAAACTAGTTACCTTTTGGCGGGTTTATGCTGATTCCAGACCGATACAGACTCTCTTCGTCCTTCCAATTTCTATTTCTTCTGATTGTCCGGCCACTAAACGCCAAGAGCATAAGCAGAAACACGACCCTTAAAAGACGACGGTTGCACCTTCTACTCAGCACATGTCCTCCAAGTGCCACAATGAAACAATATCCAACGCTTGGTAAGTACAAAACGCGCTCGGCAACTACAAAACCTACATAGAACAAGACGTTGGTCGCAGGTAGAAAAGGAACTACAAGGAAAACAAAACTAACTAGAAAAGTCTCACTTAAAGTCCGATGAGTGACAGAGTTTACAAAGGAATGTTTACACTCACACTTCGACACGTGGTTGTTGTTGTTGTTTGTCCTACATGTCACTGAATGTGAATCACTCAAGGGATGTTTACACGTTGAACATCCCCTGCTTTTACTGCTGACCCGGTTACACTTTAGTATTGAAAATTCCGTTTCAACATTATGTTTTGTAAACACTTTTTCAAAAGCTAGTCGAACACTTTTGTAGATAAAGTAGTAGGCAACAAACACGACCATATTGCGGGGATCGGTGAGAGAGGTGATTCTCGGAATGGCGTCCATCGACCAGTCAAAGCTGAGCCACCGTGGGTACAAGAGAAGGTAGAGGTTGAAAACTGGCAGGTACAGGAAGGTGAGGAGTCGTGTTAGTAGCCAGGGACAGCGAGCTGTGGGGTTGTCGGCTGTGGCGAACGTTGGGGTGTGTGGTCCCATCAGGTAAAGTCTGAACATCATCATGCCGCCCAGGCCGACTGCGAGGGTGCTCAAGCTTACGGCTAGACTTACTGCCTGAAATAAACCAATATTTTGCTAAATTTCATAATATATACAGGTTTGTTTAATTTTTTTCGGATTATACTGTGTTTATTAAAGTAAAATATGCATTTGTTTCATATTAATTGTACTACAGTATAATTCTTAATATTCACTACTCTATTGTTATGTTCAAACTGTTTAAAATATACTTTAGAGTGATTAGGAAGCCCCCGTAGTTTTTTACTAAAACGTTCTCATTTTTGTAAAACTAATAACTTTAATATGATGTATGGATATATGGGTTCTCATTGTTGAGTAGAGGCTATATATGTTAAATACAAACTTGATAATAAGAAATCCACTGTCAAAAGGAGTTAATTTTAGTACAAGACTCTTTCTTAGAATGCTGATTGTTTTGTAATTACATTCTGAAACTTATAATTCAATTATGTGTTCTTATAGTTGAGTTAACTAAAGTGGTATATTGAAATACCACGAAATCTTTGGTTCATTAATGAACCATTCAAGTATTCATAATACGTATTTCTGCCAATTATACTGTGAGATGTCATACCGCTTAAAATTCCAAATATTAAAGTTCCGTTGATTATAATAAGACCATTTATAATGTAATAAGAAAGAACTATTCACTTTATATTTTACTAGTCTCTCACTAAACAATTTCAACCAGATAGTAAAGGTTAAAAACAGTATGGTTGTTTTAAGAGTAAACTACATAAACTTATGACAAACCCATTAAAACAACCCCAAATTATTCTTACAATAATTGATAAGTAAGAAAGTTAATAATTGACACCCGTAACAAATAACACGGTAATTATCAACAAATAATATCAATCAAAGTAAATTGTAATAATATAGATTAAATATGAGAGTTCCTTTAGAAGTTATAATACAAACTCACCCCTGGCCACGCTCTGGCTGATCGGATGACGTCATAGATAGCACAGACCAGCAGAACGGTGAGTCCTGTCTCCTTGCTGAGCATAGCCATCGCAGCAAACACAAGACACAACGCGAGACACGCGCACTGACGAGCGGCCGTGGAGGAGTACGGCAGATGCTTCAAGCCGAAGGGGCTCGAACACAGCCGAAGATAACCGAGCACTTCATTAAACACTAGTAAGCACTTTGTGGACGTTTGCACTTCACAGAACTTATTGATCTTGTTCGACCTCGTAGACTTGTCTCTCAAACTAATGTGGTGCAGATAGGCGAGGAAGGAGAGCAGATAGAAGAGGCAGGCTAGGAGATCGCCTCTTCCGACAACTCCTGAGACTGCCTCGGTGTGTATAGGGTGGGCGGAGAACAGCATGGCAGCCATCGTAGTAGACGACCTGGGTAGTAGCAGGCGGGCCACCCGGAGAACTAGGGCTGTGTTGAGGACGTGCAGAAGGACGTTGGTGAGGTGGAACCCTCGAGGGCGGAACCCCCCGAGCCAATGGTTCAGCCTGAACGTGAGGACGCACAGAGGGCGGTAGGACCCGTGGGATTCGCTGGAGTTGAGTGTTGTTCCCCAGAAGTCATTACGCCAGAGGTCGGAGATGGGAGTGGAAGACAGGACGTCTGGGTTACGTAGAATGGCTCGGCTGAAACAAAAAAAGGAAATATGTACTTCTTATTTTGTAATAATATACTAAAATTATCATATAGTGAAACTTTGAGTTAATCTTGTCGGAATCGTAGGTGAAAACTCTTAAGATTAAAACTGATTAAGTTGACGTCTTTACTTGGCTCTTACGATAGTACAACAGCATCTAAAGAACTTGAAGAGTGATATCATATCGAGTAGTTTGTAATGGACTCTAAAAATGTTATAGCTTACGGTTTCTTATTTGCTAGATCTTTTTGTGCCTGTTAAAATAAATCTAAATCCATACTAATTTTTTTATGGTTTGCAATTCATGAAACAACGCGTAAAATAGCTGTTCTTCCATATAGTGCTCATACAAAATATATATACTTAATGCAGTTTTTAGAAACCAGTTAAAAATAATAGCATATAAGTTAGTTTCCAGACTGTTCTTATCATACTAAAGGTTTTATGTAGAAGTTTGGGTATGTTTTGTAGCTGCAATGCGAGAGAGATTACGCTAAACTTCTGCGTCCGGACACTGATATAGAAGCTTAAGTTTATATACTTACAGATTAAACATTTCTAAATTAAAAAATACATATATATTTTTGCAAAAGTGCTAGTGTAAATTCTTGGTTTACATGACTCTATTAATTAGGTCCTTGTACCGGAAAAACTGGAATAAAAAACAATTAAAATATTACTTGATAATTTAACTTTTAGCCGATTTGAGGTATCGATTTGAGGTATTTGAGGTATGATTTGAGGATTTCGTTTTTGACTGGATTGCAAAAAAACCATATTTTGAAATGTGATTCTTTAAGATACATAAAAACATGATACATTAAAACATGTTACCGTCATTTATCAAACATGTGCTTGGCATCTTTAGGGACTACTTTTTGCAATTCATATTTTTTTCAACATATTTTTGTTTACTGTCCATTTTTGTTTTTATAACGAGAGTATCTCATATTTATAGTAATAATATAACAGTTTAATATTATTTATATCACCGATCAAATTTCTATATTCATTCCACTTCCTTTAAACCGTAATAATACTTGACGAATCATGAAAAATAATTGAGGCTGTTCTATCTTGCTTGTGCTGTATGTGATTATTATTACAATATTTGGAATTTAGTGTCCAATCAATGCTTACGAAATGCTTACGACGTTTTTTAATTCACAGTGCGCATCAAGATAGCAGTAAATACGAAGAACATTTTATTGCAGCATCTCAACTTGTAGCTGATATCTATCTTTCATGATGTATAAATGTTTTTTTTTTACAAATACAGTCGTACAGACAGACGTTACACAAAAGGTTATAGGGCAGATGGTTTAGATACGCTTTTTTATTACTATAACCCAATGTTTCACAACGTAAATGATATCCCCACATTTCTTGAACATTCTGTATGCTATTCTAATTAATTTTATATAATAAAACCATGTTATCTATTATATTCCACATTATAAATAAAACATGTTCATGTTTAAATATATACTCGTAATACTTTAAAACCAAGCAGCCACATTACAATCATAAATCCGACCCTAACTGTGACGTTAACCGCTTTTTGAGCACATGAAACATTATACAATCACGTTATGCAAATTGTATTCTCAGATTTGCATGTGTAATGACCGTGAGGCTATGTTTAACTCTTTGGGATTTGTCTTTCCACGCGAAACCTGAGAAGGCTATTTCACTTAAACTTTGCATAATACAAGAAACGTAATATTTCTAGAATAATTATGGAAGAACTTAGATTGAAAGGTTTTATGAGCGAGGTCTTAATGTTTTCAAAAGGAAATATGTAAACACGTTTTATTTTAGAAATAGCTCATAAATTCTACTGTATATTGAATAATTAAAAACTTACAGTACAAGCAAATTCAAAACTTGTGCTCAACTTGTGTTTGCTTTAGTTAAATAAAAAAAATACTATGAGCATAATCTATTAGCATAATCTGTACTCAGTACAGTACACGATTGTGAGCATTGTTTCATAATTGTAAATCACTGACTGATTCAAACAATAGGTCACTTTAGGTCAATTTATTTAAAATGATATATTCTTCTCCTAATAATTATTGAGCTCAAAAATACTATCCCACATTACAAAACTCAGAATAATTAAGACCATCATCAGACCAGTTCTCCGGTATAAATCAGAAATTTGATTAAAAAAAACAGAAAAGAATATTATTGTATAGAGAAAAGTGTAGCCTACACCCGACTTTTGAAAATAAACAATGGACACTAAAGCATAATTGGGAACTGAGAGAATTATTTAAATATCCGGTTATTGTCGCTGAGGTACAGAGTAGAAGGATGAAATGGGCAAGAGATATCGAAAAGAAGACAACTCGTTATCAAAGAAAGTATTAGAGAACAACCCAGAAGGTAAAAGACCCCTTGGTAGACCGAAACTAAGAGGGTGGGACCAAGTTGAAAAGGACATTATAAAACTGGGAAGAGAGAAGGAGGATGCAAGATAGAGAGAGTTGTAGAGGCAGTGTGTTGGGGAGGCCAAGTACCATTTAGGGTACCAGTGGCCATAGCAGTAAGTAAGTAGTAAGTATATTCTTCTCTTATACTTAGAACTGTAGATTGTAAATTAAAAAAATGAGTTTTTGCAGTGGTTTTGTATGTATGCTTTGCTGCTTGTATCTATTCACCCTTTTAAAGTTTCCTAACAAGAAACTATCGAAAATAGCATAAGCTCAACTCTCATCATATTGATTAAAACTCAATTCCTGATATCTTTGGCTAAGGGGATTCATAGTCTGAGCTGGTTTGTAATTTGCAGCACAATCAGGCCAGGTAGCCTCTACTTAGGCTGTAATGGCTGTTTAATGCTACACATTACCTATCACTGCACGATCGGGGGCAAAGTAGCTACTAAGCTACTTTGCCCCCGATCGTGCAGTGATAGGGCACTAGCTTAGAGGTTATATATAAGGCTACTGTTGATTTCTTGAAACGTAGATATATACTTCAAGTATAAGTCTTTAAGGTGATAAACTCTAAACGAATAAAATGTTTCACTAAAAGTCATAAAATAACAATAAACTCTAAACGATTGAAACGTTCTACGAAAAGACATTAAATAACAATAGTAATAAAGTATTTTAGATTGAAATAATGGTCAATAAAAAGGTAGTCAGTCGTAGTTTCTAGATTCTATCTTATTATAACATTATAATAACTTATACTGTAAGCAATAAAATGTATAAAACAGTACAATAGCAATACAAATATATACTAACATGCAATATAAATTACCTTATATTTTGTAACCTTATTTAGCAGTGTCACTTTTATGATCGATTACAAGATATTAACAATAATTATATTATTAAAAACTGCAAATAATTTAAACATGCACCCCTATGTTTCACTGTATGGTGTCATCTCTAGCCCTGGTATGGTGTATTGTTTTTCTAAGGCAACGGTGCTGGACCTTCCTCGTGGTCTAAATATCCAGCACAATTTTCAATCGTAACTACTGAATTGCTATTCAAAGCAAAGTAATGGTGCTAGACTTTTTTTGGGTGCTTCAAACAAGAAACAGATTTGAACAACAACAAGAGGCGTTCTTTACTGGCCAGTACCTCTGTGACTGTGGATATACAGATTGTTTAACTGTAATTTTTCATATACAATAGATTAATTCAGTAAATTGAGACAGCCGTGCCTCGATATAGTTAAGAATTCTCTAGTAAATCGCAAAACTATTTATTGTACTTTAAGATCAAACATAAACTATTATTAAGATATAGGAGTAATACAAGTAAAAATATGATTCTGGGATAAAAACAGAAACATGATTTATTTGCTGAAACACATAAGAAGTTCACATTATGAGCCTTGGACTACCTTTTCTTACACAATACGATCTAATTATTTAATCATATTTTAGTTTTGTTTGTTTGCCAAGATTTATAAAGAATTTGTAACCGAAAAATAACATATTTATTAATTATTATAGTCAATAAAATATAATTTTGGTAACTAATAATGTTTCGAATCAAACAAAGTTAACCATTAACAGTTTTCTTTTCAAACAAATAAGTTATATCGAGAAATAAGTGTTGAAAGATAAACACACAAAATGTATACACATTTCATCAAATGTAGACTATACAATCAAATTCTGAACTTGACAGTTTCACATTGTCAAAATATATACTATTCAGTGGATAAATAAGGAATGCCAAAATGCTTCTGTTCTTTCTGTGGTAACGTGTTTCCAATAGCCAGATATTGGAAAACCATTGAGTTATGCTTCAGTTGCAAAACTTTTGTCGCAAATTGTAAGCTTCCAATATACTTTTTACTTCAACTTGACTTCAACTTTTTACTTTATAATGTTAATTATTGAATTATTTCATGCTGTTATAATTTAACGGAAACCATTTTCATTTTAATGTTATAACTTTTAATTCTTTTTACTTTGTATATATATTTGATATTTTATCATTGACTATTGAATACTGTTATGTTAGAGCATTGTTATAGTCAAAGATATTGTTAAAATTCCAAAACCCCTAAAATAGCCAATATCATATTGCAACGTTAAAAAGGGGAAAACTACATACCGTACTTATTTTGATACTTTGATAGTCGTTCTGTGATTAGGCTTATGTATTCATTATGAACTACGATTATGAATAATTTGACTTAATAACGTATTTCAAAAGCTTGTTGTTGTTTCATTTATTAGTTTTTCAAACAAGGACGCCGAACAACGAAAAAATATCGCCTCAACCTTGAAAATACATCAAATACGCATACTTTAGTAGTAAAATGCGCAGACTTTTAATTGTACACACAACTATATTTCCAAAACACAAAATAAATTAAAAAAATAGAATTAAGTTTCTTTAAACTAATCTATTATTTGATATATTTTTATATAACAGAAAGACTAAAGTTAAATGAACGTAAAATATATCGATGGTAAGAATTATTTCGTAATTAAATACAAAAAACAGTAAG